TAGGACACAGAGTTTTACTGGCTGCAAGAATACCAGCACTGAAAGAGGAGCTACTGCTTGACGGTTCGAAAAAGGTACTGCAGTGGACCCAGTCTGGCAGACTTCCAACGTACCCACATTTTTAATAAAATTATAACTATTTGAAGGGCTGCCAGAGCAATAATTCATTACGCATATACAGGGAAACTGGATTTGTCAATAGATTCAGTGGAGGGAATTCTAGGACTCGCAAATGATCTGGAGCTCGGTACAGTTTCAAAGTGGTGCGAAGAGTTCCTCTACTCTCTGTATGTCTCCAATATGTTCTGACTCAAATTTCATAGGTTAGATCTCGACACTATCCCCTTAGTATGGCATGTAGCAGGAACGTACAAGTTAAGCTCACTTGCAAGGTATTGCATTCGAACGATGCAAGAAACGTTCCAAGATTTAATACGCCGTGACTTCTTTACAAAACTCCCCCTCGATGCTTTGTTCCGTGTCATGCAAAGTGAAGACTTGCATGTTCAAACGGAGGATCAGGTAGTCTTGGCGATTTCGCAGTGGATAGGTGCCCAAAAACATGCTGATGGAACGGAACGGCTTCCAGAACTGCTTCGCGAAATTCGCTGGAATGCTGTATCCAATGAAATCCGGGGGCGTTTTGCGTCTGACGAAAATTGGCTCAAAATATTCCCATATTTCGGGTATGCTTGGATTCAAATTATGCATTTACTATTTCAGCAATTATATGAAAGAATGTGAGTCCTGGTGCAGGAGCGCAGGCCATCGTCTTACTCCCTCTCCGTTTAATCAAAAAGCCAGATTCTACAATAAGAAAATCACGCTTTTGGTGGGATTTGAAAGCCATCTCCCTTCGCCAAAATATACATTCGCGGTCCATGATGTGAGTAAACCGAGGGAGAACAAGATTATTTGTGAAATAAAGGGTCGTAGGTACGCGTCGACCATTGCTTTTCGGGGTAAGTAAACGCCAAATACATTCATTTTTTGATTCGCTAGACAAGATAGCGATTATTGGTGGTTACAAACGCCATCCGTCCAATGCGGTAACGATTTTCGATGTGCCAACCCAAAGGATGAAACCGGCTGCTCCAATGACTGTTGCCCGGACTGAGTGTTCCGCTGCGCGATGTGGTGACTTTATCGTGGTGTTTGGAGGAAAAGATGCAATGCGGAGAAACCATGCTACTTGTGAACTGTTTAGGCCTTTGAAAAACGAGTAAGTTTGAACGTGCCTTTCAACTTTATACTGAACTCATGAGTAGAAACATTCTCATATTAAGTACAAACGTTTCATAATGCAAGAAGTCCCAGCGTACATCACTGACATAAAGACCGCGCATAAAGTAAAGAATGAAATGATGACTGTTAGAATATTGTCGTTTTTGGCCTGAGAAGGATATATGTCAAAGTGGTAGTGCTCTTCGTAATCGATCGGCTCTTAATGCACGGATAGATAACGAAATTCCTCCTCTTATTGAATGATGAGTAGCCCTTGACGCTTAGTGAATGATTTACCAGAAGTAAATGCATATG